TCACCCGGACAGAGAAGATGTTTTTCTTGTTTCAGTCCCACATATATTTACCGAACTAACAGTTACTAGGATTAGGCCACTGCTGCTTCCGACCGGCAATGAGCCATCTGGATACATACCTGAAATCTGCCCGGATAGAAACCGAATGAGGAATTGTTATTTGCACGGTTTCACGAGTTTTAAACCAAGATGTTACCACCGAATAAGAATGAAATGAGTTAAACTAAGGTTAAGTGGAATTAATTGCTTTAACCAAGTGTTGATCTCAGAGATACGGGGTTCTAACGTTAACCCGAAAGATCACGTTTAATCAATTAAAATCGCGAACGATTATGAACGAAATCGAGTTCGTTGTTCTTCCCAGAGGAATAATGAATTCAAACTTTTCTTGGAGGTAAACTATCCCGTCAACCAAAATCATCGGGAACCTCGTGAATCCCGATCCGGTAAGCATGTGGTTTCGGCAATTTCGGGAAAGCATGCTATTTTGTGTTATTTGAGTGTATGCCGTAGCTCTCAACGTTGGTATGAAGCACCAGAGTCTTGATTTCAGTTCCTCCGGATTCAATGACTATCCCGGATGTAAGTTAGTTGAGAAAAATAGAAGAATATTTAGGTTATGATGATGATGATGATGATTTTTCTGGGGTTAGCGATAACAACTACTTACAAATTATACCATTTTACCAATTCAGCCTAGTGTGCCATCCTTTATTTCTCCCTATCAGAGCAATAAGTGTTCCATTCAGTTTGCGGTTGTATACGTAACAGCGTCCACACTGAATTCCATTTCTTGTTATGTTTGCTTCTGCAGCCAGATTTCCCGAATGGTAACTATCACTTGGAGTCTTGGTTCTGGTTACACTGAGTAGACAACAAAGTCGAATTCGACTGTGGCCAGTTCCAGTTCCAATCAAGACCTTCAATCCCAAAAGCCTGATTTATTTTGGCACACCCTTCTACGGGCAGTCGCGTTGCTTAGTCTATACATTTAGAGGTTTTCAGCGTTATCATACTGTTCTCAACTTTCTGATATGTATATGTATAGTTTTGTTGGTTTGGTATTGGGTAGTTTCAGATGCTAACCCTTAGCGAGCACTAGGAAAGCGATGCGATAAACGACTATGACTCACTACATATTCAAAAATCAATGTCGATTGTTCGTTCACCGGATTCGCTCGTGGCCGTTATGTTCTTTTGATGACCAGCTGGCAAAGTGGTCAAATCTGCCCTCCACCGGCTCCCTTCACAAAACAGTACCACTAATAATTCTTCCGCTACTTCACCCCCGTCTCGGCCATGTGTAGAACCTAGCAACTGGAACAAGACACACAGACGGTTTCATCTTAGCTCAAACTCAAGAGCTTGGTGAGAACATGACCCGTGTGGTATAAAACTTATGCACACGAGGTTGACGACAGAAGGCTCAGGACGGTGCCAGATGTGATTGGGCCACCTGTTCTCCGGCCCCATGACCCTCACAACACCGCTTAGTGCGATCCTAACCAGTAGAGAAGGTGTGGGTGAGGGGGATGGGGTTAAAGTCACCCCACCCCCACCCCCATCCCCACCCCCATCCCCAACCAAGACCGGATATTCCAAATTGGGCTGGCAGACCAATGGGGGTGGGGACCGGGACCCAGTTCAGCAGCTGAACATTTAGTGAACAGACTGGATTTGACATGGCACGCGGGTAGCAACCAATTCACACAACACGAACTTGAGACGTTCACAACAGAAAAAGGGCACATCATTGAGCGCATTTTGGCTACGGTCACCGATACATCCTAACCAGGCTGGAAACCAACATTCATGAAAATCCTCACACTGAGTGCTTAAAACACTGGTTCGACTGTACTGATGGGAGCCAGAAATCAACCGAGACAGTACACGCTCATCTACTTTGTGTTTTCCATAAGTTGACTATTCAACTCACGAAAACACAGTATGTACCAAATCATGAGGACACTCGTAGTGTTCGATCCAGTGTCAACAATGGGATCACCGCAACGGCTACTCTTAAGTCACAGTCAATCAGAAAAAAGTGAAAATATTTCACAACTGAGTACCCACGAGAATATTGTTTCAAGATTATATCCAAATCAGATGAGACAAAGATATATGAGGTCATTACATTGATAATGTAAATCCTTTTACATCATCAACTTCCCTGATCACCGTCAAACTCGCAATACATACGAGATTAGTGGTAAAATTTTAGGTGGACAGGGATTGGACTTACTTTGAGGGAGGGAGAAGAAGATGAACCACTATGGTCAACACAGAGTGCGCAGTCGAACTCAGCATACATACCGTTTCAAGCGTTCTGACCTGCTAAGAAATGACAAGAATGCCGCTGCTGTCGGTTCGCTGCCATATCCTTCAATGTCTCCAACCTGGGAGGCGAGAGACACCTACTATACCGAATGGCTCTGTGCATTTTTTCATGCTCTCTGCACGTCATCCGTTGACCTCCACGTGGTTTATTCCAACTCGGATTAGCTACAGCGAATAAAGCGCGGTGCGGCAGACGATGTCTGGGCATACGCAATACGTGTCCTAGCCAGCGAAGTCTACTGATCTGAATTCGGTGTGCTACCAGGTTTATATCTGATGGACTCACAAGCACACGACGGCTTACCTCCAGACTACTAACCCGTTTGCTCCATCACACATGGGTTAAACTGCGTAAACACCGATAATCGAAAACCTCTAGTCGACGGATATCTTGTACTCGCAAATTCAAGGTCTCACAACCATAACGCAGGGCTGAATGAACGCTACCGCAATATACACGACCTTTCAATTTCAGTGAAACGTCGCGTCTACGCCAAAGGTGTTTCAGTCCTGCATATGCTACTCGAGCCTTGGAAATGCGGGTGGTCATCTCGTTTGCTACACTACCGTCATTGGTCACGCAACTACCTAAGTAGGAAAAGTAATCCACCACAACTAAATCCTGGCCATTTAGTTTCAGAGTGGGAGTAGACGCAACCCAGTCCTGAAGCATCACTTTGCACTGTGAATGTGCAAAGCACTTACCGAATATGGCAACAGCACTCGTTAGTCTATCAAATGCACTTTGCGCATCCTCCACACATTCAAACAGACAGACGATGTCATTGGTGTACTCA